ATGCATTCGGTTCTTAACAAGGACGATAAAGGCGATGTCTAGATTTGGCCACCGTTGGAGCAATTTTCTAGTCAAGTAAACAAGACGAGAAGTAAATAGTAGTTGAGTTAATCCCGTGGACCAACATTTGTCTGCGGATGAGACCCATGTTTATACTTTTTGTTTGATTTATGCTTAAACCTTTGAGGGAAAAACATTTTTTTTTGCAATTCCTATATTTGTGACACGTTTATTTATAAAGCTAATATGACAGTTTAACACGTACGTTTTCTTAAATATTATGACTTTCAATATATCTCGCACTTCCAGAAATAATCCTGGATAAAACATTTAGCGACATTCTTGTATACAATAATCCATATTTTATCACTTTTTCAATTCGCAGTATAATAATTTTGTTTACCAACTTTAGTTTTAACTAAAGCTTCAGGCCTAGTTAGTTTCACGGACACAACTGAACATATGGTTTCGAAAGTTAGAATCCATACCAGGCTTAAGCCTCAAAGGGGGTAAATGGACATTTCTTCGTCTGGTGAACATGGTGAACAGACATTCTGCCTCTGCTCGCCACCTGGTTATCATGAATTATTCCAGAAACGTTTGAAAATGTTAAGACGAAAGTAAAAACTAGTATGTTATAAAGGATGAAAACTTACCTGAAATGACAAAACAAACTTGACACTGCTTTTAAGACTGATTGGTTTCGCTTGGAAAAAGTATCTCAATAGAATGTGGCGTGCATCCAGTTAATAATAATATGAGTAAAAACTTGCATGCCATGCTAAATAATTGCCAGTCCTGCTTATGTTTCCAATATTTTATTTACTCTCAATCGTTCCATATTTCATTCAATCAGTGTCATTGCGGTGACTTTCATTCAAGTAATAAAAATCGGATTCATAATCCAGCACTGAAAGGGGGGGATAAACAAATGGCGACAAAGATCAAACGTATTGTTATGCTAATTTATTTTCGGAATGTTAGTTGACAACAAAACGAAAGATTTGTTTCATTTTCTCGGCAATAGCTACGTGAATTGGAACCAAAACTTTATCGGCAAGATTCCAGGAACGACAGTGACAACCACCAAAACGTAATAAATAAAGGCAAATAAACATGTGAAGCATAAACAACTGTTTCGAGTCGCGAAACTATCCCTTTTTACGCAATCTGGGAAGACTGAATTACTAAACGAAGCGCAGGACGACGAAGCTGAAATATTCAAGAATCAACACGTACCAAAAATGATATCCCAAAAAGGAATATCCGTGGTATATTTTAAGTCTAACCGGATCGGAAGTGGGGATTTGTTAGTACTCTAAATATCCAAACATATTTTAGTATAAGGTAGTAATAATTATTGAGGACATATTTCGAAAAGTTTTTCTTATTTATTTTTCTCTTTTTCTCTGTTTGATAACTAGTTCGCCGAACCCAGTTCTTGTGTCCATTTCCCTGGTAAAGACTGTACTACTCAGCTGACCAATAACAATCTCAGCAGTGGTGAAGACTTTGAGGTCACCCAGCACATGACCACCAATCACAGCTCCTTTTCTGTCAGAAAGACTGATATGCAAATGACCACCAGCAGAGAGAGTGCCAACCAATGAAACGATTTCAAATTTGTCATCCAGTTCCAAAATCTGGAGAACGAATACAATTACTCTAGTACATTATTATTATACGACATACAACATCCTTGGTCAGTTTTCTAAATAAATTGTGTTGTCTATTTTCGTGTTAGAGTGGTTCAAAACAAAGTGATTATTAGTAGGAATTCGGGGAGTAACCATGATCTGACATAAACACGAACATGTCGTTCCGGCTTACATATTGGTCATATAATAATGACAAATGGACATTGTACTCTTTCTAGTGTAGTTGTTTTTTAGAACAAAACTGTCTGAAGTATGTCAAAAGCAATTGTTGCTTAAATGCCGTGACATATTGGTGTCCATTGTAAGCTGATTGCCTCGTGAACGTTTTTTTTGGGTGTTTTGAGGTGTTCTGATCAATAAAATATAAAACAGTGGTGATGAAAGTCAAACGTGTACTGTGTTCCACGTTTACCTTATTAGTTTCCTCGGCTGTCGCGTGAGCTAGCCTGATCTTTGCGCGAGTTACGCTTCCCACGCACGTGACTATGAAAGCAGAATCCAATTGGTTCTCATCCACAAACTTCATCAATGTGCTGAATATTTCTTCTCCTGGACCAAGTCTCAGAGCATAACACACCATCGGACTCGCAATTGCCTGAAATGTACAAGTGAATGTGATTCTTGATCAATTCCGTATCATCCTCTGGCGGCGAAATCAAGTAAACGTCAGCAGACGTAAGTCACTAAAACTCAAAACATCAACCCAGGTTTTACCTTTTTCGGAATTTGCAATATTGTTATAACTATGTATGATGTCGCATCTTGTATCGTCTACACGTACCACACAAGTTCGGATTAAAGCTAATACATATTGAATGAAGAAAAATGTTTTGAAAACACGTTGTCATGTAAAACGTGAAACCACAGTCCCTCTCATAGTAGAGTGACTGTGGTGAAACCTAGACATATGGGACGATACTCTAGTTGATTACAAAAACTAGACTAATCACTGTCTTGCCTGACTCATGTGTAGAACAGTTTTTACAGTGCCATCTACTAGTATTTAGAAGTTTAATATTGAACTGTTAGGGTATAATGTTTCAGCTTAATCCCTAACCGTGAGTGAGGGATAAACAGACACGAAACCCTGCGAGCGGACGATCGGGTTAATCGGGGGTTTACTTGCAATACGAACCTTTCGGGTGTTAATCGGGAGTTTAATTGTAGTATGCGGCCTTCTTTACGTTTAAGTGGGTGTATTTACTGAATAAGCTGACTGATTGGCCGACAAACGAAGCTTATTTCCAAGTCTAAAATATCAACAATAATTACTCAATGCAGCTGTGTGTGTTTTAAGTTTTACAGGTTACCGTTTTAGAGTGTTCCTGCCCGGTACAAGCCTTCCTATGTAGCTCCCTTGTATCAGAAGCGATTTATTTGTTTCTCATTGTTTGATGCGATCCTATCTCGTGCTGCACTGCAGAAATTCTGTTATCGCGAACTCAGCCTTGCCATAGATGTGGAATATATTCGTGTGTTCCGCTTAATGTCAGTGCAACGTTAAAATGGCAGACTGTGACATGGAAGTGTATTTATTACACAGCACGCCATCGCGGATTACTAAATCTACACACGGTTACTAAAAAGACTTTTAGCAAACGTGATCTACTACTAGTATTGAATGCGTACTTACATCAAACTCACAGACTAATCTGTGATTCGCACAAATGCAATGAAGTTGTGATACAGTGGGTCTGCGCAGATGCAGTTTACAAAACACGTATACAACAAAAATAATTTCCCACCACAGCACTGTGTCGATATTACTTCAATTGGACATCGAAAATGTAAAAAAACATTGTAAGATCGCCGTAATCTATGTAACTGCTAAGGGTGTTTTGAGTGGAAAAGAAAACACCAGAAATGTGACGTAAAGGCTCTAATTTGATTACATGATATGGTGAATATTGAATCAAATAATTAATAATTATTTTACAAAGCACCTCAAAGTCTTGTCCTGAGCGTGTGTGACAATTTGTTGTTAAACATAAGCATTCTGAAATAGACTATGCTTTTTGAATTCGCATTTGGCATTTCGCAAGAAAAACAAAGCCACTCGAACTGCGCCCCCGTCGACAACATAACCAAATTCGCTTGTTCATCTGTTCGTATCTTCTCACTCGCAATATATATCATTCACAGGCGACGAGTTTACATCGCGTATGGCTATTTATATGATATAAATGTCTGATTAATTGCATATAGTAATTCAAGTTGAATATTTAATATACAACATGTAACAATGTGAAGATATTTCAAAAATCTTCACTCTGAATATTTACCCAAAATAGGCAAATCGGTCCACCGGCTAGTCTGACATGTAGGCGTGAGTGGCGCCTTCAAGTTCGCCGGCCGAACAGCATCATACCTCACTGTGCGTTTGGAGCACCACGGAGGGGGCAACTCGCGCGACCTTGTTAAGGCAAGTGAGAAAATAAATGATCGACACTTATACATACCGGGGGAGTATTTAATGGCTCTGCTACCAGGTTGGCACATTTCGTATGTGATTCTCCGTCGTGCGTTCTTTCTGACATTTTTATTGGTTCCTTGTGGGACTTCAAGTTAGCTTCATATTCTGGTACCATCAGCATATTCCGTTCTAGAATTTCTATAAAATTCGGACAAATATGGTGTACGTATGAATCATTTTACAATCACATACATTGATTGACGAGCGTGTGGCCGTCCTAAAGTAAACCAAAATTGGCATAATACTACACGAGTAAACAATTGTGAGTTTTATTTTTATTGTTGTTGTGTGTTGTGTGTGTGTCAAAAATCGAGGAAAAATACAAAGTTTACTCATATCTGTCGGGAAACTGTCATGACTTTGAATGAAATAAACTGAGCGGATTGTGGATTCTAGACCCATTCCCATTTCTTCGTCCAAAGAGCACAGGGACAATAGACGCTGATTCGCGGAGCTGTTGTCGTGATTAATAATTTGCTTGTTGTTTATTATAAATATGGGGAAATGATAATTAACAAACAATAATCCAATGCTCTGCAATTAGCTTTAATATACGCTGACTCTGTTGTTGGAATTTAAACTTGAATATGTTGCTAACTTCACGCTTGTTCACCCACTTGGTAAAATAATGACTTGTCAGCTGATTTACAAATGGCTTACCTAGGTTTATATTTTTTTCAACCTATAGTTATTATACATTTATGTACTACACATTAGTATGCGTTCAAATACAGTTCAGGTAAAAAGAAAAGAGATATGTGTGTAGTAAACAACACAAGTACTTATTTCGAAAACAATTGCATGAGACGGATTCCGTACCCTTACTTAGTCATTTTCTTGATAACCTAAGGGAGCTTTAATATATAGCCCCCCTCTAGAGCAGTAGTTCGCAGTAGTGTTTGATTTGTAAAGATGGCGGAAGAGAAAGGGTCCACGGCATTGACAGACAAAGATGCAGACGTCAGTCTTTCTATGGTGGATGTATTAGAAGAAAGTGAAGAGCTCGAGGATGAAGCGAATGCCGTTCTTGGTGGCAGTGATGACAAATACTGTACTTATGTCCAGGTAACAGTTAATTATATCCAATTCAAGTCGTACAGGAATAGAGATACTGTGTTCGACAAATAGCGTACCGTAATTCATTGTTACTAGTACAACTGTACCTGTAGTAATAGTTTCATAGTCCTGCTATTTGTTGGTTTTTGGTACTGTTGAATAGTGTAGTTGCGTTTATGTTTTTCAAATGCACGTAGGTAGCAATACACTCGTATAGTCCCTTCATACAATTAGGATTTGTTGACAAACCACACAAACAAATAGACTGGAATTGCGAATTACTTATATCCATTGTCAGCCGATCTCACCCCCCGTTCGTACACAAATTACGTAGTTTAGCTTGCATAAGTGAGTAATTTCTTATTTGAAATTCCAGGTTAAAATTCCAAACGCATCGATTGACAAAACAGTTCTCGGGGTTTCTTTCTTTGGTGACAATAGTAAACACTATGAAACTACTGTTTTGAAAAATGCTGGCTTGGGTCATTGTACTTTGTTCAGTATGAAGTAGTGAATGGTTAAGGAAACTTAGAAAACATTTATAAAAATGTATGTTACAGTAAAAACCAATAGAAAAATTTATTGAGCATTGACTGTATAATAAATTTCTTAGAGGTCTTTTGTTAATGGACATTGTTGACAAATGGCTTTGTCTAAATCATGACAAACTACGTACTGTTCAGTGCAAACATTTAAAATGTAAAACTAGTTTTAGGTTCATAAGAAATTATTATTTATTGCCTGAACAAGAATAAACAGTAAAAGGTTCGTCGACCTGGAGATTGTAGATTACTATATTCACCCACAAAGTAATTGCATTGTGGTTGGTTGACAGGTTTTTGAACTATGCAACATTTTAAATGTATTATCGGTAGTAGTTTTTTTTCATGAGAAAGTCAATCTTGCATATAGATAAAATTCAATAAAGAATACTTCAATCAATGTCTTTACTAACTAATTCTGTCAGAGACAAATTTCCTAAAATGGATTGGGTCATATTGTCATCATGCACACCCACAAGAAGTCTTGATTATATTTGTGACTACCGTATTTATCCGGGTATAAGCGCAGGGTCCTGAACTTGGAAAATCGCCAAAAAGAAGGGGTGGGCATTTGTCCAAATATCCCCGGCAAAAAAAAACGAAAAATCATGAAAATTGGCAACACGCAGATTGAACTGCGACAGGGAGAAAAACAACAAATAAAAACATGCAACAAAAATAAATGAACAATATGCAGCATTAGAAGTGTAACAAGAAATAATTTATTGCTTAGAATGTGACAAATATTAAAACAAGAAAAAATAAAAATCAAGAGTGAAGATTCATTTGAATTAGAATATCCCCATCGACAAACACGCCGCCCCATACACGTGAATTATTTCCGGTTTTCGACAATTACCGGATCAACAGCCATACAAGATCAATAATAATTTACGCAGTAAAATTACGAAAGTTCATAGTTGTTAGATAAAAAAAATTTTTGGAATCTCTATTTGTACGTTCATTGCTATCTTCGTAAAAGTCAAAACCCTGAAATTCCAAGTCTGCGCCACTGTCGCGATCGAACTAAAATCCCTATAGCTTCGTCTTGAAGTTTGTCGATGTTGTCCCACACAATTTTGACTTAGCACATTTAATCCACGGATGTCGCTGTCTGATAGCTTGGCACTTTTAATTCACGTCTAATCAGAATAAAGAGACAAGAAAAATGGGGTCGCGGCAAACGACTGGCACAATGCTTTTGTTTACCGTCTGGCAATCATCTTTGACCTTTAAGCATCCGCTTTACTGATTGGCTAAGAATTACATCACTATTAGTGTTTCGTCATGGAGGTAAATTCAACATCGCTTTTTTATCAGACTAGGCGTTCGTTCATCAATCATGGTGAAAGTTACCATTCAGCAAGTTGTATGGATATCGCGGTGGGCTTAAAATAGGAAGATGTTTTTTTCCAACGACAGAAGAATAATTTCCATGAAATGCAATAGCTGTGGTGAAAGATGGTAAAAAAAGTTTGCAGTCTTCGGCATGACATTGCAAAATTGCTGGCCCCAGTTATGGATTCGCAAATATTTTATAAAGCCAAAACAACGTGCTTTAAACCACTCTCCCAGGTACGGGTTGCTACAATATTGAAACGTTGGTTCATTGTCGGCGACGCTAACTACGTAAACAGTGGTCGTTTTACGCAATTGACATTTATTTTTTTCAAATTTTGTTATCAGAATCAAAACAAACTGCAAGGAAGTAAACTGTTAATACAACGAACAAAAATAGGTTTTTGTTTTTTTATTTTATTACAGGTGTAGAAAAAACACCCCTGGGCGTTTGCTAGGATATGACCTCAACTCCTTTATTTTATCAAAAGTGTGGGGTGGACTTTTGTCCGGGCATGGGCTCTTAGCCGGATAAATACGGTATATACACTATCATCATATTACGGTACCAGTTTTGAAATAGTGTTGTTATAAACAGTCTGTTAACAGTTTGTTATATTCCTTAGGGTGCTGTTAATCGTCAAGCGATTTATGCCTGCGCTACTTGCATCACTTCAGATATGGATCCAGCTGGTGTCTGTTTGGCATGTAGTTACGAGTGTCATGAAGGGCATGATTTGGTGGAAATGTATACAAAAAGGTGAATACCTGCATTACAGTTTTCATTGCAATTTCCATGTGTGTGTGATCTGCATGTCTTTTCCTTCTTGATTAGAAATGCATGTCTTGTTGGCAGCCTCAATCAAATTCACTTGTGCATTATGAAATTTGCATCAATAATTTCTATATAGTCAACATTGCATAATTTCAGCCAGATATTCATTGTATATTACCAAGCTCATGCTTATTTGTTTAAATTATCTGACTAGCTCATTTGCATTTCATGTGGGATAGAGGTATGGTCCACTGTCATTCAGTTGTGTGCACCATTCTTAACTGCATTTGTTCAGCTGCTGGTTCTGTTTTCTCCCTCCCATTATTTTAGTGGTACCAATTTTGGTTTTTGTATTATTGCCAGTAGCCTAGCTGGCCTTTTTGACTTTGTATGCAAGCATGCCGAGTATTGTAATTCAGGCATTTGTAGAACCGAAACATGTAGTATACTTTGTAGCATTAGTTAATAAAGTACCCCTATTGTGTTCTAAATAATATGTTGGCTGGTTCTGTGTATACCAGATGGGTGATTCGTACTGGATTCGAGTCGTGACTTTGTTGGTATTTCGTGTAGTACGTTTTCTCACTCAATTGGGGCGCCACTCAATGTAATTATACATAGTGTGAATAATACAATAATTGAGCTAGATGTCTTGTATTGCCTAGTAGTTATTATTTTGCATACAAGTATTTTCAACTCAAGTTTGTATTTAACAAGTCTTATGTGTTTGTTTGTTTTTTGTAGGAATTTCACATGTGATTGTGGAAATGACAGATTCCCAAATATGACATGTAAATTCTTCACCGTAAGTCACTCATCATATACTGTATTACTTCATTGACATATGACATCAGGAATTGCCTCGCATGCCCGACTCGCGGGTCGGGTCGTCTGATTGATCATCAGCTTTATTGTACACACATAAACCATTGTATTTTTCAGAATAAAGCGAAGGTAAATAGTGACAATAAATACAACGATAATTTCCGAGGGTTGTATTGTATCTGTAAAAGACCCTACCCTGACCCAGAAGATAAAGTAAGATCACTTTTTCTTTTCAATTTCACATACTTTTCTTTCTGAAAATTCATTCCATCTAATTAGGATGTTGCTGAATCAGCATTAAATCTGTTTTTTACTTAACACAATGGGGCATTACTCATTATGTATATACATTGTATACAAGTACGACACTGTGATGTGTTGACACAGGAACACGCGAAACATCCAAGAAACCAGAGAGCTTTCAAATTTAACTTTCTGTTTATTCAGGCATTTTCAGTTACACCAACGGCACTATTTTTTACATATCAATACACGGGTGATGAGGTGACATATAACACCATTACAAAAGTATATATTCTGATGCATGCAATAAAGTAGTTCCAAAAACGTCACAGATACAGAGTTAAATATAATCTTTCTCATGGTGAGCGGTAATTTTACGAAATGTATAATAAGGTTTTGAATTTGTCTCGTAGATTGACACTTTGTTTTTTTTGTTATGTTTTCTTCAGATTGAAGATGAAATGATCCAATGCATAGTGTGTGAAGACTGGTTTCATGGTAGGGTGAGTATGCACTGAATTCCCCATGTACTGGTACTTTACATAATCACAAATTAGATTAAAAGTGTGAGGTCCCATCCACCTTCCAATATATACGTGTACTCATGTAATGTTTGTGGATGGATAATGAGAACATTAACGGCAGAGTATGAACTGTAGCTTGCTGCTTTGTTTACACTTAATGATGTTGTATGTTTGTAATAACAACCTCCAGTACTCTCAAAATAAAATATGTGGAAACGTCAGAGCTTGGTATCTACAAAACAACCTCATTTTTACATATCTTGTAGCTTGCTGCTACAGATCTTTATCAAAATTTATAGAATAGAAAGTATAGAATAAGCTATATGCATGTTTATTTTATGAAAATTCTTAACAAAAGATAACTTTAACATTGGTGGAGTTATTAAAGGACTTGTTAATTAAAGAAAAGAAAAACAGTTTTGAAATAAATCTGTCGATTTTGGTACGAGATTTGGTTCATGATATAGTATCTCAGTCTTTGCTCCATGCCTTGTTAGATACGTGTCCCATGCAACATATACAATGTGTGTAAAATATGCATTACTTGTTTTCACAAATTATGAACGTCAGCTTTTCTGTGTCTGTGATAAACTTTAAAGCAGCATCATTCTCAGAAACTGAGCATATATATAGATGAGATTTTAGCCAATCATATTATTGTCAGTCTGCATCCACTTTTTACTTTTTCGACTTCTTGAAAACCGCAAGTTCATTTGCATATAGGTTCCTAAGGTGGACCCTTTCTAAGATTTGTTCATTTTGTGATGATATCTTCAATTCTTTAATTGAAATGTGCATTGCTGACAGCGAAGCTATCTCAGTGGATAGGCTGCTTGTTGGAAATTAGTTTAGCCCCAGCCAAGAGGAATATTTATATTTTGAAATATGTATAGTGTGCACGATATTAGTAAAGAACAACTGGAGAACAGAAAAACATTAATAGAACTGTAGAATACACACTTCTGATGACATACTTGCTTTATGTAGTTGTCTTCATTCACAGCATCTTGGAGCTACACCACCACTGAATCTGGACTATGAGGAGATGATATGCCGGAGTTGTATGCAGGTTTGTGATTTCCTTTGGCCATATGTGGTCAGCTCTGTTGAGATGAAAATTGTTACAGATGATTCCAAGGTACCTATAAACGTTGAAGGCGGTCACGCTTCCACATCGGATGGAGACAAATTAGTGGATCATATTGAAGGTCAACAGGTAAGACTATTGGTTGTGTAGATTTTATTTGGTGAATTTCAGACAGGGAAGACTGCTTGACAATACTGCATAATATCTTTTTAGTGTAATTATTTTTTCCTGAAAAGACATTTTTGCCGTTTGTATAAAGTTTATTTTCAATGATTTTGAGTTGAATGAAAGATATAGGGGAAAAAAAGTATTTTCACTGATTCCATCCCTTTAGCAAAAGTAAAGTACTTAATATGTACTTATAACAAATGCTGTCGTTGGCAGTTTCTTTATGACAATATTCAAATCAGGTTGTAATAATATAACCTGTTGGACTGGATTTCTTGCATAATTTTTGGAGTTGCTGCTCCATAATAATTATTGTGTATCTGTGTGTGTTTTCCTATACTGTCAAATATGGAAATCTAGTACCATAAGCCGCATCCCTAATAGAAGTCGCTCCCATTCTATTTGAATAATTGAGAATCAAATATTAATCATTTCTCATATGTGTAAATGCTCTTATAGAAACCGTATCCTCTCTGTTGCATTTTACCATTGTAATAGAAGCCGCAGCTTCTAATACAAATTTTACAGTACTGTTCTGTAGCTACAAATCTTTAAAAAAAAAATAGCAAAAATAATATAATACTTTTTACTACACAATTTATATTGTATACTTATTGTTCACTTACAAGATATATTGATTCTCAAGTTAAAGAAAGAGGTGCTTAAAAAAAGGACAGAATCATGTAACCCTATGAAATATTTCTATTCACCAGTTATCTGTATTGCATTGATTGCAGGGTAAAGAGGTTACAAATGGAAATGATGGACTCAAGGTGGCAGATGAAAATAAACAAAGTTCTGGAGAAGGGGCAAATCGAAATGAGACTGAGACTAGAAGCAGTGATGTGGCTGAACAAGGGGAAGCAAACGCTTCTTCGAATGATTCGTCTGTAGAAGTGATGTCTAATTCATGTAAATTGCAGGAATTGAAGAAGCGAGGTGTACCTGCTGAAGATCAGGCAACATTCTGGCCCACAGGATGGAGAAAGAAATTGTGCACTTGTGCCGAGTGTATGGTAAGCTACTGTACTTCTCAAGAGCAATATTTTATTATCGTAGTACCAGTAGTGTTACTCCTTCAAGAGACAATTAAATTAATTATATTATATCGTCATACTTTCTTTGTTTTTTTAAATTAGGTTAATTAGTCCCCGTTCGGGCAAAGTCCGAAAACGGGGACTTATAATTCGGTCTCCGTCCGTGCGTCCGTCCGTTCGGAGTCATATCTCAGAATCCCTTGGACCGATTCTGTTCATTCTTTGCATGTGCCTAGTATTTTATGTGGGACATATGCACATGCAGTGGTTTAGCGATTTGATTCAAAATGGCCGACTGGCAGCCATCTTGTTTTTTGAAAATGTTGTATTTTGGACATGCTTTGTCAGTTTTCATTCAAACTTGGAACATAGGTTATACATGTTAGGATACATGTCCATGACGATTTATTTCACAATTGGATCAAAGATGGTCGACTGGCATGCATCTTGTTTTTTTTTAGGATACATGTCCATGACGATTTATTTCACAATTGGATCAAAGGTGGCCGACTGGCAGCCATCTTGTTTTTTGAAAATGTTGTATTTTGGACGTGCTCTGTCAGTTTTCATTCAAATTTGGCACATGCATGTACTTTATACATGTTAGGATGCATGTCCATGACAATTTGTTTCAAAATCTGGTCAAGGATGGCCGATTGACAGCCATCTGACTTTTTGGCCTTACTACTATATTACCACAATTTATGTACCATTTTCATTCGTATTTGGCACATACATCATACATATCAGTGTGTTTCATAATCAGATCAAAGATGGCCGAATAACAACTGTTTTTATTTGTGGCCATATTACTACTACACGGAACACGTGTTTTGGTGTAAATAAACAATCTGTTGTATGCGCCACTTGGAACTCAAGTTTCAAGGACACTCTCGCAACAACCCCTCCGCTTTAATATGACGAGCACAAAGGGAACTTTCAAAAGTTTAACGGGGACTGTGTCATTTTCAATGACTTGTTTTTCAAGGAAACAATGTCTGAAATTTCTGGCAATGTTATTTTTACTTTGATTTCTATGGTGAGAGTATATGCTCAGTAGTGAAAAATTAGAATTTTAATGACTTCTTTAAGAGTGAACTCAGGCATATTTGATGCTCCATCATTCTGAATAGCAATTCAGAAGTTGGATTAAAACTGGAAATTTCCAGCTCGCGTGATGAGATCTCACGTGGAATGACTTAGAAAGTTCGAAGGATACTTTCCTGTCATTACTGGCAGTGTTGTCATAGCGAGCAGTTATTTACTGACTTTGTATAATTCTGATTTCTTTGTCATTGTTATTGATAAGTTCCTGAGTTTTTTTTTTTAAATGTTGAATATTCACTGCTAGAAATGTTTGCGATTTCAGAATTTTGAGTTTGTGAAGACAAAATTTTGCAAAAGTCACAGACACTCCGCTACGAAAATTCCATGATTTTTACTGACTCATGAACATTGTGTCTCGCACAGTAACTTGTAACACACTCATCTGCCAGATCTCGCAAGACTTGTATTGCATATTCATGAAAACTGAAACTACTTCTACTTTCTCTGCCTACTAGCAACTATATGAAGAAAAACATGTGGCATTCCTAACAGATTTGAAAGATACGGTACATCAATATGAAGAACATGGCAAGTCTAAACAGACAGATGGTTCACAGTATGAACAAGGAATAAGAGCCTTGTCTAATATGGATAGGGTGCAGCAAGTAGAAGTTATGCATGGTGAGATTTGTTTGATTTGCACGTATGAGGATTCATTATGATTCACCAGTTCTTATTACCATGGGTACTGTGGACCCTAATTTGAAATGATGCATCCTGGTGAATCCACATTTTTTTCAACAATCCATGAAAATTAAGACATGGACATGCTGCGTAATGGTCCCAAGATTTCAATAAAGTTCTATCATTTTCAAGAGTGCAACTTTAAAGGCATATTTAGACATTTTTGTTTTGAATGTGCTTTAGCAGTCTGAATGTTAATATATATCACCCCTCGGTAGTTTTGTTGAGAAATAATCAATCATTTTGTATTTGCCATTTTTAGGATATAATGATATGAAGACTGAACTGAAAGATTATCTGAAAAGTTTTGTGGACCAAGGAAAAGTAAGAACAATTTTGCAGTGTCTACACCTACTTGAACTTTCTATTTTATTCTTATGTTAGAAATATAGGGGGGGTGGCAGATGACATTTTTAAATGTCAGACACCAGATCTTGTTCATTTTTAAACTGAGGGTCTGAAATTTTAACCACAGGGACTGCCATGCTTGGCTTTGTATGTATGTGGTCCACATTACTGAAAAACTGACCTAGTATTAGATTGCATTTTGCGTTATCTACATTGTTTATATGTACATCCTTTTTATTTTATATTTTTACACTAACAATTCAATATTTTTTTAGGTGGTCAGAGCGGAAGACATCTCAGAGTTCTTTGAAACCATGCAGGCAAGAAAGCGACAAAGAACCGACTCTGGACCAAAAGTACAGCATTTCTGTCGCTGAATTTAAATAGCCAATCATGCATAGTGAACCACTTTTAATCAAATCATGTGTACACATTTTTTTAATGAAAATAGTCACACGTATCTGTAATTTTGTAATTTGAGACTTACATTTATTATTTCTTTGTCACTGCCTTGTAACTTTCTTGCACAAAGTTTACCACAAATTTTAGATCAGATATAATCAGGTCAACTTAATTAATTTTTAATGGTATGCAGGAAAAATGTTCTCATTTACATACAATGAATTTACGTCATCTCTCTCAATGTTGTGTGTGTGTGTGAAAATCTGTAAGTTTAGCTTTCAAAGCATAAAAAAAAAATAAAGTTCAGGAAAAAATACTCTATTTAAAACTTGTTTTACTTGCTGTGTGTTGCATTCTCCATATACATCTCCCGAGGTAGTTCAATGTATCACATACCACAGGACTCAAACTGATGCAGCATTAGTGTGTGCCCTCTAAGCCAATATTACACTGACGCACAAAGATGTGCTGTGATGCAATTGGCTGTGCTATTTCACTGGCATGTCATTGACGCAACAGAAACGCATACATTGATATAGTGACCTTGAAAAACATCTTGCTACTGGTAGTTTTGTATTTTGGTAAAATGAAATTCATATTTTATGAACGAAAGTGTAAAAATGTAATGAGAGGCCACAACATTTTTGTTCTGTGCCTATACAGTCACTACAATTTTATTTTTTTCTTAAAGCAGTCTGACTTTAATTTGGGGATTCCATTTGGACTCTGGATCCCTACGTAATCAGTGTGCATGTTAGAAGGCTGTGCACACTATGCAGCATGGACAATCAATTCATAATTTTTTGTGCTGCAGTGGGTGTGATTAATGTTACGCCCATCAAGATCAGATTTTACTTATGACCAGGAAGTAAAATAATTGAAATGTGCATCTACCATTTAAAATTGCAGTTGGTTGTGTACTCCGCTGAAGCCATTATCGTACATGGAATTACTCAACACACTTGTCGTAATTTATAGTTGCGCATTACTTTTGTGAAATAAAATAACAAGCTGTTCAGTGCCTTAATGAACTTGCGCAGTTATTTTTCACCATTTCCAGACAACCATGGAGAGCACTGAAGGTCCCACAAAACAATCTGCAAGTGTTGCTATTGAATTTTGCCTAGTTTCTAATGATGTGTACCACAGAATTGCCCTAAATATACATAGTTCTCGGCACCGAGAAAATTGTGAGACATTAATTATAATGCAATTAGGTATCTTGCTTGTATTTTATTTTATTTAATTTGCAATCAATTAACAATTTCCAAATATAAACAATATTAACAGAACAAAAAAAAATCACAGTACATTGAAAATCTTCAAAATGCCATTAAACAATCAACTACTAAAAAAAGATTTACAATAGGTTTGGCTACCAACATTAAAGTGTCAACATAGTTGCATGTATGTCACATTAAATGTTCATTCAAGAACATTGCTGGTATTCTAAATCTTGCTTGCTCGTATACATTGTCTTTTGTTTTCCTAACATTGAACTAGTTTTGAACTATATGCTTCAAGAAGCCCACAGATGAAATATATAACATGATTTTTATAAGTAAAATCTTATTTACATATTCACATAAATGTTTCACATTACATAGTTTTCTATATGTAGGGTAGGGGACCCTATCTTAGCCATTGATTCTAGGCATTTACAAAACAAAAATTATTCAATGAATAGTGCAATTTACCAATTTCTTTGTGGACCCTCAATAATTTGGTACTTAGCAACCTTTTCTTGAAATACCTAAAAATTGGAGGTATTTCATTAGCCTTCAAAACATTCTGTAGTGTTATTTGATGCCCCTATTTAATTTATCAATTATACAATGTGCTTGGTTCATACATCTTGTGCTATATTTTTGCATGCATATTGTGTTTGACACATTATGTATGTATATGGTATTTATTGGTCAGCACTGTGAAAACTATGTACATGTACTTGGTATGTAAATGAGCTACCATGCTTTGTAGCACACATTTCTACCAATAGTAGTCAGTAGTGTTATTGAATATCGAGACCTGCCAGTAACTTTTCCCCATTCAAACTTTTGTCTAGAATATCAACAGTTGTCCCTACATTTACATATCGCGGAATATTTCCTTCTTCATTTACATTAATAGATTCACCATTGGCATTCTCTTCATCACTCCCGATAAGTTTGCTTGTTCTGTCTTTTCTTTTCAGTCCATATTTTTTTGTCTGTTGCAGTATTTTTTTTTCTGAAAGTCTGAGTTGAATAGCAAGTCTTGCATTGTTGGTTAGGTCATTGTTTTTGAGCATAGCTTCATCATCCTGGATGGTAAAAGATTGGAATATTTCAATTCTTATTATAGAGTATTTTGTTGCAGCTGGAGACTGGCATGTGCAGTTTGGTTTCAGTTCAGTTCAGTTCCCACAGGAAAATGAAAAATTTCTACTGTATTTAGTGATTTTAAAAAACTGGCACAAATAGTACATTTGTTGTACTGCAAATGATTTCATTACTCACATTTTCACTAATAAGTGAAAGTCATTCCATTAAATCCATTTAAACATAAAATTACAATAAAAAGTGTTTTCTGCGAATTTTGTGAATTCAAAACCCAAAACATGTTTCAGATAGTGAAATTAAAGGGCGGTGGTTGTCGCGCAACATGTGTTCGAATTTCATGTAAATAAACAATGTATTTTACACGAGTCCCATATCGAACAGGACGCGGCACGATGACTGCCACCCTTTAAATATCAATAAATTTAATGCATTTTCATTATTGCTTACCTTTATTGACACATGGTATATTTTCAACAACAAATCCAGTCTGGTATCAAGGAACCTCCACATCTTTATTTCATTCTCAATACTTGCTACATGGTCTATATCTAACAGTAATGCTGGATTTAGATCATTTTCAGACCTCAGCCTTTCTTTTAACTCGTCTGAAGTAATGAATTTATTTTAATAATTGTTACAGGTTGGTTCTTGGTTTATCACATGAAACTACATGAAATTTAAAAACTTGGATCATAATTCAGCAACATGATCATAAAAGTCTATCAGACGTGTGGACAACATAAAATTGGTTGGTTATAGGCAATACAAATTAAGATTTTTTAGTCACACTTACATACATTTAAGTGACACTTACATACATTTAAGTGACATACATTTAAGTGACAGGCCATCATCCTGTAACAATAAGCCAAAAAATAAATAAAAAGGCTCTCAGCAGTGCGAAGCGTTGCAGCAAGACCGGTGTAGGCAGTCGAGAGGGCAGAGAGCAGACAGCTAATTTGGGCTTATAGCAGGCCATATGGCCGGCTATTAACAAAACCCCTAACTTATTAGTTTACATAAATGTGAAACCCATTCTTGAATTCATTTCACTCATAGGCAATTTCCTGTTCACTGCGAGATCATTGCGTAATGTGTGAAAGGCACAACCAAAATTTGAACGATTTGATTTTGATTTTTAACTTGAATTTCTTTTTGTTATACTGTACTCGTCCGACTTAGCGCCAAAGCTTGACTAAGCCCCCCACCACCACCACCACCACCACCACCAAATTTGAGACATTTATATTTTCAGGTTCACATTCGGTAAAGCATCCATTCTCTCTAAAATGTCCCAAATTTTACTGTCTTGTCATAGAACCTAGTCTTTAATAATTGTGTGACTTTTCCCAAATACCAGTAATCTAATTTATATAAAACTGATAGTTCAATGTCAAAATGCTGATTTTTCATAGCGAATTAATAAGTGAGAAAATACCGCAAAACTACTTTTACATTTGTCAAATCTAACATGCTATTTTGACATTCAATTTCACACATAAAGTAGGATCTTGCAATGAACTGAAAATGGTGCATTCTACATTCACTGAAAATCATAATCATACCTTCACCCATAACAATAATTTTAAGAAAGGCAACAAGCATCGGTGGAATTGGTATCTCTGTACAAAATATATGAAATGTTCTTGATCTGAAAACCAATACAATACAATTAAAAGTTCAAGATATCAATGTAATTATTGTATATGGTCAACTCAAACATCATTTACATAAGGGACGATGTCAAAAGATCGATGTCGGATCAAAAACTTATTTGCTTTAGTTTGGGGCTGGGTGACCTCAAAACATTTCCATCCTACAAAAAGATTTTATTTTTAATGAAGTCAAAAAAATATTGGAGTATTTGTAGTTCGTTTTTTTTCTATCCAATCATGGACAAATATAACAGAAAATGAAAAAAAACTCATCCAAGACGAGAAAATGGTTTGGTTCGAGTGTAAATATGTGCGTCAAATGAAGCTTGTTTTTCTTTGTTATTGGTGAATTATCAATTACCGGTAAGTTTCAGTGGGGGGGGGGGGGGGAATAAAGAAATTGAGTTTTTTATCCTACATTGAACTTTTGATGTTGTCCCTAATACAGTTAACTAGATAAAACTACTGAACACTCAGTACTAGTACTGCACCAATGATTTTTGTAATTATATATATATATATCGGTATATACATATAATATATACTCAAGATACAATGTATCTATGGTGTGTTTTTACTCGCTTTGTCTGTGATAATGCAGTTGCATCAATTCTGAAAATAACTTACAAACAAACTTAGAGCGAGGTCATGGTGTCCTGTCATATTTATTATTCATACTTTCTGGCACTATAGGTATATACGTAAGATAAAACTAAATTAGATGTTGAACTTACGTAGAAATATGCAGCATGGTTAAGAGTTCAGCTTTCAATGCAAACAAAGGGTCATTCTTACTGATGCCAATTTTAATGGAAGTATTATCATGACTATTTGGTAAATAGACAAAACCATCATGTGTTAGCATCTCAGCATTATTTCTTGCTCCGTAGAAGATGAATATCTGGTCACTGATTTGAAAGTCTTTTAAAGCTAAACAGTATAGTGAGTTGGTGTCCACATCAAATCCTGTGGTTATCTGTAATTAATGAATAAGGTACACAACCAGTGTCAGATCAGTAGGAATCTTGGTAAATTACAGCATTGAATCAAGGGTAATTTCTACCGTAATAACAGCAGGAACCGAAATAAACTGATAAGAAAAAAACAATATCTCTATCAATCTCCTATACAACATCGCAATATTTTTACAAACATTGCCAGTGGTTTTTGTTTTGACTTCAGCACTTTCATTTCCAACAAGACATAAATGTTAGTCTTTGAAAAAGAAATATACATGGCCCTAGATATCATAAATAATTCAATAATATTGATTGTATAGGCTGTGGTCCTCATTTATTTTCAGCGAGTTCATTTGTGCAGTTACTGGCTAGAATCAGTCATTCGCACCCAAAGATAAAATAGTGACACTGTTATTGTTATTAGTTCCGCGGAGCTTATCATATAATTGATTGTCCATCGTCGTTCATGTCAATTTTTTCGCCTTCTTTTTGAAAACTACTATTGTTATAGCTTTGATACTTGGTATATATGTACCTTGGGAAGACCTCTCTCAGATTTGTTCATTTTGTGATGATATCTACAAATGAATATTTTTGGTGAAAAGTGATACTGGTATTTTCGACTTCTTGTTAAAAAACGCAAGTCCGATTGCTTTGATATTATACATATAGGTACTACAGGTAGACCTCTCTTAGATTTGTTCATTTCATGATGATATCTTCAATTCTCTAAGTTTGATGAATATTTTTGTCATATGCTATTTGCCCAGTGCACACAGGTAAGACTGGTTGCAGTGCAGTACATTGAAACTTGAAAAATAAAATTCTATATATAATGCATATGCAGAATATCTGGAAATCATCAGTCCTGAAAACCAGCACCAAGTTGAAAATTTTCAAATCAAATGTCCACTCGGGCCTCCTGTATGCAGCAAGAAACCTAGAGAACCAACAAGAAGATTGAGAACAAGCTCGAAGACTTTGAAAGCTGGTGTCACCACCAAATTCTGAAAGTACACTGGTCACAACATATTACAAACAAAGAAATCAGTAGATGCACATGTATTAAAAATATCATTCATGAAGCAAAACAAAGACGCTGGCGATGGCTGGGCCATGTGATGAGAATGAATAAGACCAGACACTCACACACTGCACTCAGATGGGCACCACCAGGAAAGAGGAAAAGAGGCAGACCATTGGGTGCCTAATGGAGGACAGTGAAAGACGAAATTGGGAAAATTTAGAACAAGATTCATTGGCTTGCTCAGGATAGTGAAGACTGGAGAAGTTATATTGGCGCCTTATGCTCCTGTGGGAGTGAAGAGGATTAAGCTAAGCTAATAATGCATATTAAGCAAGAAACTCTGACATTATAGATTTTCTATGTTATTCCCTAGTTTTACAGTCATTGTTGTCTTTTTTTATTATTTGTACTTACAACTCCATTACAATGGTTACACATATCCCATAATGGTACCAATGATGTGGTCCTATGTGTGCCATCACAAGCTGGAATATGATTTTGTCTGGTCATCACTGTTGATACTGCCCACCTAAAAACAGTCATGTTATATTTGTAATGAGGTACAATTAAACAATACTGTTGAAGAACAATACTCAATTTATCATCATGGAAAGAAACAGTTATACCCAGTACTTCAAAACACTATGACGGATAGAACAGAACACTGCATACACAGCAGTTCTAAATCTGTCAATGAACAAAGGCAGTAGATGTACAACCCTCCAGAGGGCGCTATAACTAGAACGTCAGCTATTTTCTTACCTGTAGTCGTCATACAAAAAACGTTCCTTCAGGGGCACCTTGGTTGAATTTGGCAAAATCTAAACCAAAAGCAAACACATCCAGTAAAACATGTTCAAATGTAACATTGATAAAGACTGAGAACAGTGTTCATAAGGGTCATTTACTGTAAAATACTTTATGAACAATTGAATCAATGAAAAATCGATTTTGCCCCACTGATTTGCATGCACCAGTTTGATCTCTCAATTAGTTCTTCCATTCCCATTTTCATTGAAAATATTTGTTTTTTTAATTCAACCACTTCAAAGTCAGGTATTTTGCCGTTTGTGGTGGGTCTATATTATTCAAGCAAACTGTTTGTGATAAGATGTTAACAGATAAAGTAAACACTTACTTGGAATAACTTATAAAAGTATGCATACTGTCTGCCAATATTCTTATACTGTTTCAGTATATCGTCTAAAACAAACAAACAATTAAAAAAATTCACTATATTTTACAGTTACACTAATGTTAGGCATTTCTCTAATGTTCTAACAGTCTGCATTTACTATGAAGGTACTGTTTCTTAGTTCTAAAAGGTACCCGATTACTAGGAGAGGATTGTTTTTCGGAACTAGGTTGTTTTCACAAGGAAAAGCACAACGTTCCCCTTACTATGCTGTGTGAATGCTGAATGAGCTACAATGTAAGCATGTGGTTTGTGGTTGAAAGTAACATGTAGTTACTGGTAACTATGATATGTACATGAATCAGGTGAGATTTCTTCAGGTCTATTCTCATTGCCCACCTATATAGAAAAAGTTAAGTAATACATGTACACTGTGACAACATACAACCCACAATGGGGCTGCAAAAAAAAACACCTAAAACTTAAGTACCATCACAGTGTTGATTGAAAATATTCCAGTCATCAATTTGTAACTGGAAATTAAACAAATGTATCACCTAATGCTGGTGATCCTTTCAATAAGTGTAGTTCTTCTGGTGTAAAATACATTGGAATATTGTATGACCTTGGAAGGATGTCTTATTAAAGCCAATGGTTAAAGATCACAATTGTAAGAAACATGAATAATAAATATAAAAAAATAAAATATGAAAAGAATGAAAAAATATCGACACAATATATTAGAATTGTTTTACAGAAAAGTAGTCTGTCTATATTTTTTTTCTAAAGACAGCAAGAGTTGTATACCTCGAAATTCATGTTGAAATTAATGTTTATATTTGATATTTCTTGAGAAATGTCAGGAATAAAGAATATATATAAACAGTGGGAAAACATTTGAAATGTATCAATGGAAACGGTATACTGTGTTAAAAGGATACTGATATATGGTTTCCAGAATGAATCTTCAAGTTGTTTTTCACAAAGCAGATGAACAGATAATGTTATATTAGGCATTGCTTGCAAAACTCTGTCCTTAGAAATGAGTGAACCTGAGAAGCAAAGTTAATAAAAGGAAATTGTGATACATACTGTATCTGTATATGTAAGATAAAACTGACAATGCCATATAGATCCTGTTTAGTGTTTGTGACTGACACTGTGTCAAATATACACAATAAAAGATGTACATAGATTATAATTAAATGTTGGAGACGTAATCAGCATGTTAAAAATATGGCACTACTTCAAATGGCACCTTATCCAGGTTTTGTTTGAGTAAATCAGAATAGGACTCTTAGCTTATACAGTAAACATGTCTATATATTACTTTAAGGTGCTGAAAATTACTAGAACTTTCTGAACTTCATTTTAAAACATGTCATCATGGAAATATTGTGTAGTCATTTCATTATTGAAATATTGTATTTAAATAAGGTGACTGCAGATATAATATGCTAGTAAACATCAATAACAGCACACAACAACTTATTATTGCATTTCCTCTACACTCACCAAGAACTGATGATTCAGCAGTTTCTACTGTCATCATAACTTTTCTAGGTACAGTCAGCAGAGTGTCTTCTTTCTGAAAAATGCAGACATGTGTCAAATAAGAATACATCACCACAGGCTACAAGATGGCACCTACATTTGTTCTTATTAAACTTAATCTAAATTTTGTTTATACATAATGGAATGATAAAGAGAACTGCAATTGTGCATACGTTGTATACAACACTCTTAATTTTCTAAAAAGTATTTAATAAGTTAATAAAACTATAGATGCATGTCTTTAATTAATCCATGAAAATTGACAGTAGTTCAGGTGACGCGATGAAATATTCTTCTAATGTGAGAATAGTTTTCTAATTGTTACTCTTTTGAAATACATTATATTTCCAACCAAAATTTTGGTTCAATACTTATGCCTCCATGTATTTTTCTATAAATTCTTAGATATTTTTCAACTAAAATGGACATGGGTTATGTAAGTTGACGATGGAGAACAAAAAGAAAAATTGGCTACATTACTGTCTTTGTGATGCTACAGTGAAAAAATATGACAGCTACATGTTGTATTGATAATATTGCACTAGCACCTACATAATGTGTCCTACGATCTTCCATTTGTGCATATGAAACCAACTATGTGCTTTATCATGTTAGTATTAGTGTACACAGGTCCATAGAATCAACTCACTCACCATGTTGACAAAAACCTCCATCGAAGCACTGAACCCTACATATTACCCCAATATTAACTGTAGTACATGCAATTTCCACTGTAATGCCTCCGGCCAACAATGATGAAAGTGAGAGCTGTGTTCTCAAAACAAGGGCAAATACAGTTAGAAATGAATTCTGCAATAGGATGACTGACATTTACCAATAGATTAACCTGATGCACAAATATCACATATGACAATACTACTATAATATCAAGGGATTCTGGATAAATACTTATTGATGCTGCAATGATGTAGAAAACACTTTGTTAAACTGTTTTTGTTTTATATTGAGATACTAATATTTTAGAAGCATTATTGAATAATTTTAGACCAAAACAATGTTTATTTTGCAATGAATCATAATCAACATATTTTAAATACTCTGCTTGCCTCACAATTAAGGTTTCACGCCACAATTTGCATTAATGTATAATCCTTGAAAACCACTTTTTGTAAGGTATGGTGGTATATATATTTGTATTTTGGTATGATACCAGAATAAGCAAACCTTACATAGATTTTTTGTCAAAACCAGCTGGTTTTGAAATGGTGGACTAATACATTTAGAGTGAATGATTAGTTGGATCAGATTCACTTTGGGGACTTCTAATATTTGCAACAATTATTTTTGTAATGCACAGTCCCCAATCCCCTTAATGTACTTAATGTTGAAGACCATAAGCATATAGAATGTTTGTTATAAAGCGAGTATTAAGAGTTGTTCTGGTGTGTGATGTAGAACAGCAAAGTGAAAACCTGTATCTCATGGTATTTTTCACTATAGAGATACACATGATATGCATGTGACAATGAATATCACATTTATAGCAAGAAAACAAATCAACATCATATCACAAATTATTAGTATAAAGGTTTCTATTCATAATTAATGTGACTCATAAAATGATCAAAGCACATTATTTGTGTTTAATTCCAAAACTATACACATTTAAGGATAATTTAGCTCCTAGTCCTGTGCATAGTGAACATTTTTTATATTTCAAGAATTGTGCATATGCAAAAAGCATATAATATATGTTGCAGTACTTGAGAGACATGATAGATGGATCAAGTCTCATTGCTTATGTGTGTAAAATAACACGGCTTTTCAAGTTTTTACATTGTAGCGCATGGAGAGTTTGAATGGTTAAAATATGAGACCTTGAGTGTAAATGTTTTAAGAAGAATAAATAAGAATGTTTATCTTCAAATTGCCCCAATTTTATTTATTTTATGAATATCTTCATTATGATAAATAAAATTGACAACACATGCAGTAAATCAGACAGAATAAAAAAAAAATGCTGGAGTTATTTTAAAATGAAAAATAAAATGAAAAATGCCTTATATAAATTTTGTAGTCTTGTAATGTATCTGTCATTCTCAAAGTAAAGTAAGTCTGATTTACTTATTAATTCTTTCTCTTACCTTAAATTCTTTTAAAGCTTTCAGACCATACCCTTCAGAAAATTTCTCTATTGATACATGATCAACCTCAACATCATTGTATTTCAACCATGTTAAAAACTCTTCAATGTGTTCATCTCTTGAAGTTTCAATAGGAATATGATCTTTACATTGAAATTGAAACAAGCCATGCATGGCACAGTCCCCATTAGTTATCACATTTAAGATATATAGTTTTGTTTATAGTAATACAGCTGGAATATAACAATGTGAGGAATATGATTATGATTGTTTTAAAACATTAAAATGATTGACATTTGTATCTGATCGTCAAACGAGATATTGCTCTGGAACAGCATTACTTAAAACAAAATCAGCCATTTTGAATACATGTATATATCTATAACATGATGTATAAAGAATATATAAAATTTGAATATAATCAGTCAAAGCGTGTCAGAGATATGGCTCTAGAAGCCCATTCATTAAAACAAAAGGGCCGCCAGTCATCTATTTTGAATCCAATCTGAAAAATAAATTGATGTGCATCAGGAACCCGTAATGTCTAACGTATGTACCAAGTTTGAACAAAATCCATCCATAAAGGCCAGAAATGCTTGATATTTGATGAGTTTTTAGCACAAAAATGGCCACCATTCATGGCTATGGTCATTTTTAATAGGATCGTCAAACCAATATATCTGTATATCTATAACATGATGTATAATGAGTATATAAAATTTGAATATAATCAGTCAAAGCATGTCAGAGATATGACTCTAGAAGCCCATTCATTAAAACAAAATGGCCGCCAGTCAGCCTTTTTGAATCCGATCTGAAAAATAAAATGACGTGCATCAGGAACCTGTAATGTCTAACGTATGTTTGAACGAAATTCATCAATAAATGCCAGAAATGCTTGATATTTGATGATTTTCCAGCACAAAAATGGCCACCATTCGGCCACTTTGAATAGGATCGTCAAACCAATATATCTGTATATCTATGACATGATGTATAATGAATATTTAAAATTTGAACATAATCAGTCAAAGCAAGTCAGAGATATGGCACTAGAACCACATTCATTAAAACAAAATGACTGCCAGTCGGCCATTTTGAATCTTTTGAAACAAAATGACATGCATCAAGGTCCTATAATGTCCAATGTATATACCATGTTTGAACAAAACCCATCTCTAAACAGCCGAGAAATGCTTAATTTTGATGATTTTTCAGTACAAAAATGGCTGCCATTCAACCATCTTAAATCAGATCGTGAAACAAATTGGTGTGCATATGTATAATGTCATGTATGATGTATGTGTGAAGTTTGATAGTGATTGGTCCAGGCATTTCTAAGATACAGGCCCAGACACACGCACACACGGAGGTCAAAACATAAGTCCCCGTTTTCGGACTGCGTTCGAACGGGGACTAAAAATGATTGATGGCAGTGTAATACAACTGAGAACGCTGTTTTTTTCCTAGAATAGAATTATACTAAGCAATTAAAAATTACTTCCACATTTTTAGAAATTTGTTCTTCAACATATTCTTTGAAGTTCAGTGAATCATGGTCAGAATACTGCAGTTGAGTTGAAGCATATTTACAAGGCAGAATTTGAACACTGCTTATTGATTGGTCTGACTGTTAGGCTTTGGTAGCACACAAATAAGTATTTTATACCGATACTTCCAATAGAAAAACCCAACAAATAACAAAACTTTAAAACTCTCACCTATTTGTTTTTCTCTGATTATTTCCACCAGTTTGTGTAATTCTAGGAATTCTTCCCACTGCTTTGTACCTGATAATGGTGGACCATTAGCTTCTGTGATGATTAAAAAGATAAAAATATTCTTGTTATCACAACGGTCAAATATACACCTGGTATTCACTAGCAGTTTATTAAATAACCTTAAAAATAGTTTTTAAAACAGTTAATAGTTTTAGATTGGTATTATACTTGTGAAACAAGCATTTGGTAATCATCATCCTATAAAGTAACTATTCAAAATAGTTAGACGTTTCATGCAAAGAGAAGAAAATGTCAGTTGTGATCATGTATGTAATGAATTTGATTTCTCAACTAATGATAATTCATTTGGCCAATGCTAGGAGTCATTCATTGATCAACCTGCTAAGTTTCAATAAAATAGGTCCAAACATAGTACAAATCATGGTAGTTTCCTCTAAAAGTTAAATCTATTTACATGAAATGTATCAGTTTTACAGAATTAGAAACAGTTCTTAAAATATAGAACTTACTTTCTAACAGGTTATTGGCAAGGCTCATCATTTCCCTGCCATATGTGTCCGAATACCGGATCTGTTTTTTCCTGCTTTTTCTGCCCATTCTCTTCACTTATATTGTCAATAATGTATGTAGTAGTTCTCTTCTGTGTCTAGAGAAGATAATATGTAATCAAATGTACATAATAGTCAACCAAACTGGCATGTCTGTATAAAGGAGTATGTAGAATATACATTTACCGGAACATGGTAACAATGCCATGCTTATGAGTATACTTATGAGTATATAGACATGCTGTGGTGCATAAACTTATGTAGAGCATGAAATATTCAAATGAGGTATTGAAAGCATGTGCATAGCACACAGTTGCGGATAGCCATGCACCAGTACATGGTTGTGGCCTATAGAAGAGGCCAAGCACATGGTTGCGAAATAGCCTCGCACCTGCACTTGGTTGTCGCCTCCAGACATGGCCAGGCACATGGTTGTGGAATAGCCATGCATTTGTACATGGTTGTGGCCTATAGACATGGCCAGGCACATGGTTGTGGAATAGCAATGAACCCATACATGGTTGTGGTCTATAGACATGGCCAGGCACATGGTTGTGGAATAGCCATGGCATGAACCTGTACATGGTTGTGGCCTGCAGACATGGCCAGGCACATGGTTGTGGAATAGCCATGAACCCGTACATGGTTGTGGTCTATAGACATGGCCAGGCACATGGTTGTGGAATAGCCATGAACCCGTACATGGTTGTGGTCTATAGACATGGCCAGGCACATGGTTGTGGAATAGCCATGAACCCGTACATGGTTGTGGTCTATAGACATGGCCAGGCACATGGTTGTGGAATAGCCATGAACCCGTACATGGTTGTGGT